ATCACAATACCTGACAACCCGTGGTTGCGGGTACGATCGCAATAATGTACCATGACCTGATTTGGGGAAGGAGAAGGATTTTGGTAGTTTTAAGTCAGTAAAAGTCTGACACTCCTTCTCGCAAGTTATTTGATGTTTGAGCGTTTTCTCCCAACACGAAATCATTAGTGAATCATTTTTTTTTCTTAGTGTATGTAACTGTTCTAACAAAAAGAAACATTTTAAATGCAGTCATCCAGCATAAAAACGTTGACGTGTAAACCGTTTTGTAGCTTATTTGGTAAATAAACATTACTTATCTGTGTTATCTTTTAAAGTACTTAGGTTGGTATCAACGGATTTTGTCAAATCCAACGGAAACAAGTTGTGACATACCTACTATCTCTGTTGGATAGGTGACTAATAAACACCTGAACAATCCAATTCTAAAAATAGATATTACGGTAAGATCTTGATAGGCTTAATTCTGTTTTTTTACACGGAAATTGAAGGGAAGCAGGCGAGAGCAATTTTTGTTAATCATGTTATGAATGTCATGTAATATTTGGCCAGCATAGTGACAAAGAAACCTAATTTCACAAGCGTCTGTAATGTTGTATGGAATTGGTCGAATCTAGATGTCGCTCAAAACTCAACAGAGTTGGTTATTCTTCGCTGGGCAGAAATATAAACAAAATAATGCTTTTTTTGCTATAGGTCGGCAAACGAGCAGATGAATTACCCGGTGGTAAGCAATTCTGGGCCGCCCATTTGCACTCATAATACGAACGAGTTAGGTACAGGTTACTTAGATACAAGTGCGTTGCCGGCCTCTTGTGGGTTATTAGGGATTTCAGGATAGGGGATTTAAAGGTTGAGGGTGGGAGGAGGAAGGATTGAGCCGCGGGTAACATCACTCACATGGTGACGTGAAACACACAGTGGTGTTCACGCCGGTTTTCAAAGAGGTCGTGGTATTACCTACTCTAATCAAGGCTGCCCATTTGTGCCGAAGCATGGCTCACCCACACTTACTTTTTCATTTTAACATTTTAATTTCATAATTGTCATTATTTCTCCCGTTATCCTTGCCTAAATAGAAATGTAATGTTTCGAACCATGCAGGAAATATGATAACATATACATAATCGTAAGTTCCTACGTTGCTTTGCTATATGCTATAGATATACTTTTAGTTTGTATGAGGATAATAATATCAGCAGAATTTTACATGAAACGGTGCAGGCGCTAATGACAATCATGTTTATGATGTAAATCATTATTTTAAGTTAATATGCTTATATCTCAGACGCTTAGTTATGTTGAATAAACAAGAAGCAATAGCTGCCTATAATATTGCTGATTAAAATCGCCAATCTGCCTGCAGGAAGCGAGGTGATTAATGCTCAAACCATCACCGTGTGAGAAAAGGTCTTTGCTCAGCAGTTCGAATTTATAGACCGATAATGATGATGATGATGCTACTGTTAAAGTTGTAGTGCCTACTTTATCTATACTTTTAAAATTACTTTAACGTAAAAATAATCGTTTTTGATTTGGTTTTAAAATAAAAATTAGTTTTTTTCGACATAAAGCTAAAAATTACGGAGGTAAAAAATACAGGCAACAATAAAAATGCGTTACAAATTATCCGTTTAGAAAATATCACCTTCACATTTAGATAGATTAGGATTGCAAAATAAATTATGCGATCTTACGTAAAAAAGTAAATATTGAATACTCAATAATCGAAGGTAGAGGATGAATACTAATATTATAAATGCGAAAGTTATTCTGTCTTCTTTTCTTCTTCTTTTCTTCACGCCTAAACTATTGAACCGATTTCTGTGAAATGTGGTACAGACATACTTTGGAACTCAAGAAAGAACATAGGATAGTTTTTATACCAAAATCTGCAGAAAGTCAGTATTCCACGCGAACGGAGTCGCGGGCAAAAGCTATTAACAGAATATAAGGATTGTGTACATGACATAAATGATATTGAAAGAGTCTGATCGAGATGACGTCTGATAGCGGAGAATCGAAGAAGAGAATATAACTTTACGTCAAAAACCTTACAAAGCCGTACAAAAGCTGATACCTACTCAATTTCCCCACTATTTAATGAATGTTATTATACATATAAACCTTACCCTTAAATCACTCTGTCTATTAAATAAAACCTAATCAAAATGCGTTGCGTAGTTTTGAGGATTTAAACATACCTCTTACCTCATAGATCTTATTTTTACACGACTGCCCAAAAAAATATTGTTGTTTTCAGGATTCATGTGCGTATGTATTATGTATGTGAGTTTCTTTATTCCACTGTTATACAATATGTACAGTGATTCTTGACTCTAAAAGGTAATTCTCACAGACATTTTAATTGTCATCTTGCTTGTTTTCTTTTTCTCTCTCATTTGCGTTATTTCTTTATTCAATATTTACTTTAAAATTTAAAAACATGGACTGACAGTAGGAGTTTTATATAACGCGGTTGTTTGACAATAGTTTCCACCCGTGTGCACCTGATTCTTCTTATGAAAACAGTCGATATGTTATGTAAATATGAACCTACGTGCAATGATTACACAATTCATTTTACAGAAAATATTTTCTACAGAACCGGATTAGGTATTTTTCCTTTTAATTCAGATACATCAACATATTCAGTTATTCACTTTTTTTCGTATTACTTTGCAAAAGTTTCAACTATAGTGGTTTAAAAACAAGAAACTGCATGATTTGACCTTCGTGTAGAGATGTCGTACCGGACGTGACTTCACTATTTTAGTGATTATTGCGAAGGAAGTTACCCATGTAACTACTATCTACGGTTGTATTAAAAAAACAATAAAAAAAATAAAATGTCTTAGGTATCATTCGGTAAAACGTTTTAATGCGGAAGCAAACATTCTGTTTCGATTCCCTACCTAATATTTATATGTATTGAAATTATAAGATAGAGGTTTTTGTCTCTGGCTGGCAAGGTGATTAGGAAGTTTAATTTTTTTTTGTCTGTCTTTTTTATGAAAAAAAGTATACAGGTACAGGTAAAGTTAAGATTTTTTGATTCCTACTAACTACTTAAGTAGGTAGGTACTCGTGTACTGTAAGGTCAGAAATATCAACAAAATTCTCGATCGATGTAAGAGTTTCTTGGGAAATCCCCATTGGGTGAAATAACATGCATTAAGCGGTCTTTTGATAATCTGTGCAATATACAGATAATCAATACTAATATTATAAAGAGGTAAAAGTTTGTATATTGATCGTTGGAATCGCTGGTCGGATTTCCAAAATTCTTTCACTGATAGATACTTAGTTATAATGTGCCTAAGTGCTAGGCTATAATTAAAATTTTTAGTTTGTTTTGCGTAGCTTTTTTGAGCTATCGCTTTAAACGCTGTTTTTTTTAAATCCCCGGTTAGAAGCTAGTATACAGTATAGAAACATGACATACCTTAATAGGTTAGTAGAAAATAGAAAGAGTCAGTAAAACCGAAAAACAATTCAACCACAATCATGCTAATAAATGTAATTTATTCATTCCCCTCACAAAATCTTAAACGTAGGTTACAACTTTTGTAAATAAACCTCGAAACCTGAAAGCGATAATGGGCCCAAGAAAGGTCAATGACCCCTAGAATGCTACACCCCAAATACGATAAAGAGGTCAACATTTTTTAGTTAGATTATTATTTATTATGATAGCCCGTGAAGTGTAATCGAGCTCAAATAAAAACATTAAATAAGTAAGAATAATAATTGAAAAAATAATTTAATAATTTCGCGGTGCCAGCCTGAAGCAGGAGAAGGAACGATGTGGTTAATAGTCAGAAAGAGTCTGAACCTTCTCTCGCCCCTCCTAAGGAGCGGAAAAAGTCATTGGATTATTTTCTTGTACCTACAAAATATCTCACCCTGTCGCCATATTCATTCTCGGAGTCGGTGCACACCGCACCACGCTTCTGTTTGCAATGTTTACAAATGGCTTAGCCGTAACACGTTGGTAAGTACGTTAAAAACCCCGGCCTAATTGAGAACACCCTCCTTTTTTAAAGTCGCTTAAAAAGAAAAACAAACTCACAGAGAATAAATAATACCCAAAACCGGATACATACATAGTTTTTATTTGAGAAGTCGCAGTTTTTATAGTCACACATATACTTATGGTGTATGTTATTTACAACCAGAGATAAAAATACTTATGTTTATGTAAAGAACGTTAGATACTCGAGTATTTTATTTTAAATCGTTTTTTATTTTACATAAACTCCGTGCTGTTGTTCATATTTTATTGTGTCATCAAAAACTGTGAACGGCTGTTAGCTCTTTATTATTTAAAATCGATGGTAATCATTTGGTGATCAATCATTTTATTTCGATATTTCAACCATTTTATTCATTTACCGCAATAGATTATTGCTAGTACCAATTTAAAAATGGAACGATAGAGTTTTTTGCTCATTCTTCTCTATTCGATTCTACGTGTTTAGAACGACAGAATGATTTTAAATGTTAATTTAAGATTTTTTTGAAATACGTACGAAAGCCAAAGTTTGACTTTGCTTCTCAAAATTTAGTTTAGGTGCTAGTACCCATTATTTAATTTTAAGATAGACCTGAGTATAATGAAGAAGGTTCCTTTACTTTTCAGCTGAATGAAAATATTGCTTAGGTACCTACTTACATTGGTATAGGACCAACACAATTGTTTTTTGTCAAAACAACTTTGTTGTTACAGCAATGGAATGTGCACTACCTAGATTGTAATGGATCAATCAATTACTATCTTCTCTATTAATAACCGGCAAAACAAGAACATAGCTCAATTTCTATATGAAAAAAATCAATAGCTTTTAAGGTTAATCAAAATGTTAAAACTAAACACTATACATCATAACAAAAGCGAACATATATTATATCCTTCATTCAAAAATAAAAACATAAAAAACCTCCATTAACAAAACATACACAGCACTCGAAAAACAAATAACAAACAATATAAAACTTACTTTTGGTCACTTCGTGTGTAAACTCCCAAAGATATTATCAGTCAATTTGTCACCGTATATTTATAGCTGAACAGAATGATAGAACACGTCGCGTTTGTAACGCGCACGATCGTATACTGACGGGAGAAGTGTCGGCCTTTAAAAACGGTAAAACCAACAGCGTTGATACGCGAAATGTAAAACGTATCACAACCGGCGCAAGAGCACAAAGCGCGTATTATGATATGAATAGGTGCACTCAGACTCCCGCATGTTAACTATAATTTCGCAAGTCGCGTAGGTAGATACTATAACAGTTTTATGTTATTATGACATATGTAAGTTGTACTAAGAACTTGCGTTGTTTTCCCAATTTCCCAACCTTTGCTTTTAACTAGAATCATCAGTGTTTTGAAGAATATTGGACATATTATTCCATCGCATCGTTAATTACCTAAATATTGAATAGTTATCTTTTTACGGGATTCATCAGCAAACAAGCAAACGGTTCACCTTATGGTAAGCAATCGACGCCACTCATGGGCACCACAAACAGAGTTAGGTACTAATGTTTTGAGGGTTGTGGATTTGAGGATTGAGAACACAGTAAGATTAGGCTTCCAGTAATCTCAATCACATAGAAAAACACAACGCAATACTGTTTCACGCTAGTATTCTATGAGGCCTTGGTATCAATCACTCCAATCGAATCAAATCACCACACTGCAACATATACATATGTTAGATAGGATAAAATGCCAATTAAACTAACTAGATATTTATCCCTTCTGTCCATCCGCGAAATGAAACGTTTAGTCCGCTCATCAAAGCAAACACAGTACAATAATCAGTATTGATTTAATAATTCATTGTTACTCTAGCTGCTAGCTGTTGCAAAAACAATTGAAAATGCTCTTGAATTTATCCTTGAATAAATCAATCCACTTAGATTCGTTCGCTAGTTAAACTAAATATAGATGCATCATGATCTGAGTCTTTGTTAAAGTGTTTACGTAGTTTTGAAGTGTAGGTAGACAAAACATTTGGACTGTGTTCGTCAAATTTTTAAACTTCATTTTGACATTGATTCCGTCTTTTTCGATCACCTATTCGGTTTAAACCTTGCGCTCAATCTTCCTTATTGCAAGTGAGACCTTCGGCAACGAAGATGCATAAATCAAAAACACAGACCTATTTACTAAACTAGTACATTTGTCCTGTAGAAAAGACAGAAATTATAAAGCGTAGAGAGAAATAAGTATGCCAGAAGTTAGTACCTAAACTACGATTCTATTTGTTTCCATCGCATTCATGCACAAAGTCATCTCAGTTACAAGTCCATCCCATTGAAGACAACGTCTTCAATGGGATGGACTGAATTTCGATTTGAATGATGAATTTTTCTCATCTTTTAACTTGAACATAATTTCAATTTAATTAGGTATCTTGAGGAACACCCCGTTTGCCTTACCCAAAAAAAAAACAAAATTATGTAATTAACAAATGAAGTACAATTTATTAGGTAGTGCGCTTAGACTAACCTCTGTCTTGTTTTTAAGCGAATTAAGTAGACACAATGGATTTTCAAAATAGGTATTTCGAAAATCAAGTTAAAGCAACTTATTTTATCAGACTTTTATGTTCAAATAGCTGTGCTTAGATCTAAGTTGGTATCTACTATTGTAACATGCAGTGAATCTGGCTCAAGCCCAACAGGGTTGATGTTAAGCCGAGGTTGCGGGGCAATGCAATAAGGTAACGCGGTACCAACCTGGAGAAAGAGAAGGAACGAGGTAGTTTTTTAGTCAATAAGAGTCTGACATTCCACTCCGCCTTGGCGTAAGAAGTCATTTAATTATTTCCCCTCTGAAAATAAGAGCTGACTGCAGGAGACGGATGTATCACACATCATTGAAGAGTATAATAAGTAAGTATAGGGGAATTCATCACATGACAACAGCTCGTGACAGTCCAGTTACTGCAGTGCAGTCCACTCACTGCAGCACAAAAAGTTCAGGTTTATCAGAGATTTCTGGTGTCTGGTATATGTCCTGTCATCTCTTATAGTCTGTAAAGAGAGTTGGGATGGTGACAAATACTTTTTGCTCTGGCGCTAATAGACAGTACCTACACTAACACCGTCTTTTTTTAATTGTACGACTACTTGATTATTTGTTAGAAGTTTACAGAAAATATGAACAAAATTTAAATTTAGAATTTCAATGATCCAATATTTAAAATTATTAATTTGAATCACTTAACCCAATTTTCTTGATAGGTACGTTTTGTAGCAGTCAATCCAAGCAAAGACTACTACTACTAACATTACTTTTAGAAAATAATCAATCAGCTTAGAGCAGTAGAATGGTATTTTTACACCATGCTCATCGATGAGTAGAGGAAAACATAAGTATCTATCAATAATTATTCATATAAATAAAGATCAAACTATTGTACAATAATAACATCGTAAAATACTGCTCTGTCGGGCAAAGGACTCTTTTAAAAAGTGAGGAAAGAGCTTCTATCACCCCATTCACGATGCTGGTTCAAGTCAGATTAAAGGATCATACCGATTGCCTACGAAGTATTTAGTCAGCTATTGAAGCTACTTAATCCCAGAGGCAAATCTACCTACATGCATTTTGTGGTGTAGCCCAGGGTCCTCTGGACGCAAAGAGCTTGCCAATACAAACAATAGGCGATACCGAATTACATTATGAAAAAAATTAACTACCTATATGACAAAGTTAATATCCGAAAAGAGGTAATACGTAATTTCTTCAAATAAAAGAGGCGAAGCTCATTTCTACAATTCTGATTTCCGATTTTTGGGAAGAAAATTTATTTTATTGATAAACAATACACAGCCTTGGTTTACTTGGATACTTTTTAAAGGCAGTAACTTTTAACAGCGACACATACAAACACATACTTATTCACAATCCGCAACTAGCTATTCAGCTACCTAAATTTATATTTTTTAATGTTAAGAATGCGCTTTACGTATATGTATAAATTTAGCTACTAAATACTAAAGAATTTTAACATAATAAAAATAACTCCATTTAAAACGAGTCAAAATTCTGTCCGTAGTGGGTATTACGCAACAAATTAATATGTGACTGGATCCGTCCATAAGATTAAGACGCACTATAAATTTACTCTAAATCTCACGTGTTTTAAGTAAATAAGTACTTCACTATACATTTTCCAAGATATACAATTGACTATTTGTTATTTTCATGATACAAAACGCATTACGAGTCTGTTCAGTCAGTCAGAGTTCTCAGTGATTATCACATCCACGTTAATAACAACAAAATTATTGACTAAAAACGTACAACACTGTGTTAGTCAATACCCTGTTCGACTCTCGTCTAAATAAGGAAAGGTTCGTTATTATCTTGTCCGCACCCAAGCAAAGTACGAACTGCTTTAAAACAGGTGAAGGCCAAATGTGACGTTCATAGCGGCTTTTTGTACCTGACTACTTTTTGCCAGTATTGCCAAACCGGTACTGTTTTATATTTTTTGGCAAAGTATTGTTGTAAATAGCGTATCGTATTATAAGATACGTTACTAATTTTCAAATTCCGTTTTCTTTATTTTATCTAGCTTTTTGTGTAACGTGCGTGTTATATACCGATACACCAGTAAAAGTGATAATCAAATAAATAATTCGGAGTGCAATATTTACTTTTGTCGCTAATGATTTGGCCACTGAAAATAGAGACCTACCTTAGCTACCTGTAATAATAACTTGTTTAGAATTATTAGTTTATAATTGCATATTTTTTTATCAACAATTATTATGGAAAAATAAAAACGAATGAAATCTCTTTCATGATCACGAACAGAGCACGGCACGGATCACATTTTAAATTTGGCGTCACGTAACACATGTTTCTTTTGTCAAATTTCAACCAATAACAACGCTTGATTCCTTTCTGGTATATTGCCAATAAAAAGAAAGGAACTCTATGGATTCCGTAAACAAAAATGAATTATTTTGTACTTTGTTAGGTACCAGTAAGCAGAAGATAACAATAAAAAAATTGTTTATAAATGGCTCTATAATTTATTCAAAATGAATCTACAAAAGAAAATCCCACTTAGAAAATGATCGAATGAAGAAAAATATTTCGCCATGAACACGCTATTTTTACTTTTAAAATAATGTTGCCAATAAAATAAATCATATATTAACGAAATAAGCTTTCTATTTATTTGGATATCACAAAGAGTAAATAGATTTGCTGTTTATTTCATATAATTATTTAAGTGATGTGCATCGAATGTGTATCTGACTGAAAATTTATATTACTGTTTACAAATAATTACGTTTAACCAAAAGGATTTATCTACTCTGACAACACAAACTGCTGCAAGTTTGCGCATGCGCCGAATGGCGAATCAGTGACTATTCTTTGAGTTAAATATTTTATAAATAAGAAATTTTATCGTTAGTTGGTAATATATTTATGTTAACGTGTAATTTATAAATTAGTTTAGATTGAAACTTTTGGTAATACAACTCTCATATCTAAATTTATGAAGTGTTAAAAGTGTAACATTGGTGGCCATTACAAAACTTAAACTTTTTTATCAGAACAAATGTCCATTTGATGTTTCGGCGACGTCGTGACTAATCTCACGGAAACTTACCTAAAAATCGCGAATTGTGCTTTATTTTACTTTGATCGAGATTCCCTCCAGTGCCTTTCAGTCCGTTGTTGGGAATCCTTGTTGTAAATTATTTCAAAACGTTTTGTGCCGACCGACAATTATTGGGGTTGACTTCTCACAAGGAACTGTCAATTGTTACATTTTTTCGATACATTCATTTCTTTTAGCAATAAATATTAATTAGCCCCACACGTATAACGTTATTTTGTACAAGATTCGCAGGCTTCGTGGTGATTTGGTAATTTGAATAAGTTGGACACCCACATCGCTTGTTGTTACTCTTCAATGAACATAACATTGGCACGGCGACCTCTATTCACTCTCGCTCCCCTTCCGAGTAAAATCGCATAAAATAATCAATTATCACTGGTAAAGAAAGGACAGTTATCATTTTAAGATTTCTGAAACGATTCGTCAGGTGTCGCCGAAGCATTCCGTATCACATTCAAATTGTGTTTGCAGTGTAACAAAAATGATTTTGAGATAAATTGTATAACAGTGCAGTGGTAATAGTATCGCAGTGAAGAAAAAAATAGCAATATAATATATAAAAGAAGTGACAAAAGTGTTGTTGTGTTGGATTGTGTTATGGAGACGCGTCGCTGGCTGATGTCGCGAAGGCTGTGGTGACATGGGCTGCGCTGCGGCCCCGACAGACGCTGGACACAGGGAGTGAGCTGAGTGCTGGGCATTGCGCCTGCACAACAAGTCTTGTATTATGAATAAGCGTGATAATAGCAAGGACAAAGAACGACAGAGTGACGACAAAAGAACATCGTAAGCACCTTATTTTACTAGCTTTCTCCTGTCGAAAGTCCCCTTACATTGTAATGCCACAGGTCATTTACCAAATGTACTCAGCCACGCTGACCTAGGACTAAGCACCTTAGTCATTTCCATTCACACATTCAGTCATGCTTATATTGAATTATTCAAAACAGCAATCAGTTCTAACTCAGTCATAAATCAGATTCAATTGGTTTGTTCACACCACAGGTAATTTATACCTGCTTGTGCAGTATACCTCTTCACTGACACTGTGTTGCTGTACATTGAGAAACTAAAAGGGGTTACAATTCTCTCCAACTCTAGAAACCATGTGATATTAATGTATAATTGAGTAGAACAAGTGCATTGTATACTTTTAGTTAATAAGTGACATTTAACTATAGTCTCCCAGAAGACATTGTCAAAAACACATAGAAAAGGCCCATAGGTGCCACACACATACAGTGTACAATCATTGGTTGATGATACAAAATGTCTATTTAAAATTTTATAAATATTCAACACCACCTAAAGCATAATGTATCATTTTATACTTTCTTTATATTTTTTTACCTATGCCTCGATTCTAACTTCGCACACAAAATTGATTTCTCTATTACTATGTATTAAATCATGACTCATGTTGCAGGTAGAATATTGGTCACAATTAATGCCATAAAACCCTTTAAAAAAATGATAATACTATCTGCCAAGATAGTTGTCTAATAGAAATTACAGTGTGACTCATTGCTGAAGCTCATACAAAAAAACTTCATAAAAGTCAATGATCTATGTGAACGTAAACATAGTTTTTGCAGGTCAATCTAATGTTTCTGAACTATGTATTCAATAAACCCATGAATAGATTAACATCTTTAAATTTTAATGTTGCCAGCTTTTCTGATTTTGATGGTGTGTGATTCTTACATAAACAATTTAGTTTATGTAAATGGTTGTGTTTTATTATTGTTGCTGGCATCTCAAGGTTAGAGATAGGATTACAAGTGCATAGGGTTTTTTATGTGTGACTGAATAAAAGTTTAAAGTTAATTAATTTTGCAATTTGGGTAATAGTTTTAAGATTAAGTTTTAGTGTTTTGGGTATAGTGGCTTTTCATTAATGATGTTTATGTTGTGTTATGGATCTTGTTGAGCTTAATGATGCAGATTGAGAAAGAGCTGTAGAACAATAAATAATGTTATACAATGATTTATCCAGAAATATGAAATGGAACCTGGTTGTGCCTGGTCTATTCACAAACTACCTAAAAAGCCTTCTTTTAGATACACAGGTGGTTTGCTTACAGAAAACAATAGCCACGGTATAAAATACAATTTCCACTGTGGTTAGCATCTATTGTATTGTAAGGGCTATGCTATGATTTATCTTATCTTCTTGAATACAATCTACATTATCAGAATAAGTAATAGGTAGGTTCTTTACTATCCTTTGATGTATTACCACTTACCAAAACACATTTCGAATCTAGACATTCTAATTCAATTTCTAGCTATCTTCCCACTCTGTAATAAAAATATTAAACTTTTAAAATAGGTGAAACAACTTTTTCATAGTAAACAACTCTAATGTTTGTAAACTAAAATATTATTAAAAACAAGGTTAATGGAACACAGTTGTTAAGAGAAATTTAACACAAATCTTACATAAATCTATTCATGCCTACATAGTTAGTTTAAAGGATAACAACCTGTTTGTTAGGAAACTCTTTGCTTAAGTAACCAAAGCTTTATTATGTCACACAGTGTAAATGAACAAAATGTAGCTAGCTTAGTTGTTTCTGGTACTGATGAATCATGAACCATAAACATCTTGGTGTATCTCGCTCAATACTTACAGTTGATAACATGTTCTTAATAAAAACATATCACAAATTAATGTCACAATCTCTGTCCAGTTTCACATTGTTTATTGTTAACATTGATTCAATAATATATAACTATAAGAATTAAAAAAAGATGTTAAATTTTTTTTTATCATTGAATCACACTTGAAAGACGTTGACATTTCAAACTACTGACTTGACCAACTTAGTTGTTTTCTATAGAAATCAAGAGTGCTTTGCTTGTATGTCAATCAAAATTGACAAGTGAGCTGTCTTGTGCTATAGTGACTAATATTTTTATATTTATAATGAATATTCAAAGTGATTGTTATTGTATTCATTTAAAAAGATACCACTATGCATAGGAAATTGTGAGTATGCAAGAGGCAATGTTTACATCACAGAGTAATATTTTGTTATTGTATTAATCTGATAAATACCAAAATGCATTTAGGTTTGAACTTGAATCAAGTTGATGATTAAATAGAATTGGGGATTTGGGGAAATTAATAGATTGTTGTAAGATTTTGAGCAGGTTTATTGTAGGGTAGTATTATTATTTTAGTGTTTTCCATGTGGTTACAAAACACAGATTTCTACCTATTGTGTTCTAAGATTTCATGGTAATAAAACTGCAGTAGTATTGACCTTACAACTTGTTCAATAGAAACTGGATAGTAATAGCAATTTAAAGGAGAAAATTCATTTTATAGATTAAAATGTGTCTGATTGTTGTCTAGTGGTGGCTTGCACGGCTAGATAATTGTCTCCTTCCATGCTTTTAGTGGTTGGAAGTGCATTGTAACTTTCACTTTTAGACTCAATGCCAATAACGGTTGGTATGATTCACTATAGCCATTATACATTTTGAAACATTGCACGAAGAATCTTACTTGCAAACCATTCTGTTGGTAAAAGAATAATGTTTCTTTAACTATTTGCTGATTAAGTCACATGATATCAAAAAATGTTAAGGTCAAAATCTTAGCTGTGTTTAAGGTCAAACATAAAAGAAGTTCACATTATCTTTCATTCATTTAATATTTTATTTGAGTGTAACTTAGAGATAATACTAGGAAACTTGTGTTTTCTATGTTTCTGTTGTTTAGACATTATTTAATATGAAATAATTAAGTTCTAGGATGAACCAAGTAACTGACAATGACTTTTATATACCTATTATGAGTAATTCACTTGTGAAGGTTGTGTAATTACACACATTAGATAGGTTTATTAGGTTGGAAGTTACCGTTTTTTAATAGATTTAATTTATTACTCAGATATAGTTAGCCAGATATAATGCTACAAGCCAGCAATGAGCTTGAGAAAACACACAATGCCAAAAATGTATTTATTTAGCACCAATATCAAAATTTTATGTGGAAGGCATAGATCTTTTATACAGCACCAAAATTCAGCAGATTTTATTAATAAGCTGTATCCAAACATACACTGTTTTTTATGTCTTATTAGCTAAACAATAAGGCTAATCCAGGAAATGTAGTGTTATTTACTCAAAACTTACTTATTCACTTCAAATATTTTTTAAAACATTCTCTTTAATTCTTTTCTATACTTTGTTTTTGTAATTAATGTTCAAAGTGTATGTTTCTATTTCTACCATTAGATGTTAGATCCTGTAAAACAACATACAAATACTTTTTATGACCTTCAGTAAATACTAGTGTGGTTGACCACAAATATCTAATTATGATTATATACAGCACAAACTGCTAATAACTAGGAATTATTGTAACATGTGAAGCTAATAGGATTACTACTTGGATTATGTATTTACCATTTCATGCAAGTACATTTCTTTACTTCTTAAGAATTGATGAGCTTCATTCGTTATTCACTCAATTAAGTAACTTTGGTTTTGTTTATAAAACCAAGTACCCCAGGTAGGTAATTGTAAAAGCTTCAAGGTACATCTATTATGTCCTCTTTAAATTATAATTGTTATAAAAATATTTTTAAAGGACATATATTTAATATTCCACATAAACATTTAATTGTTGATTAAAAGTAATGGTTTTCCTGCTTAATGAAATAGGTGATTTTAATTCAATACAAAAAGTATTTGTTTATGAAGTACCTTATTAAAATTGTTTCTTTTCATGCACAACAGTTAGTAATAGTGGTTTAAATCATAACCTATTTCCTTAATGCCTAGTTGAAATAGATGCTGATATCATTTAGTTTGCATCCTCTTATTTATAAATGTGTTGTGACACTTCAATTGACATTGTTTATGAATTGAAGGTCCCTCCAAGTTCACAGATTATAATCTGTCATAAACAAGACTAATCAGCTCTATTTCACTGAGGATAAGCCTTTTAGCTTGTGTGTGGCTTCTTTCTGAACACAAACTTGCAATACACAACTTGTTTACTTCTAAATCCAATCAATACTAACAGTTGCATCACAACAATGCTCTGATTGGCTGACTAGCATACCAATGCACTTGAAACCTTGGATTTTACAAAGAAAAATATACTGATGCTGTTTACAGAACATTTCTTAATGAGATAAAAGATAAATGTCATTTTATAACCAACAGTTTCAGTGCAGTTGCCATTGTGACATATTATTGCGGTTTTCCTGCTATAGTCATATCACAGAAATCTAAAATGCAATATTTTTCAACATGAAACAATTTAAAATAACTAATAATAAAATAACTATAATAACAAAGAAATACTTTAAAAAAATACCTCAACCAAAAAGACTCATTCTTTACTGTGGTGTTGTATTTTTCATTGTATTCTTAAGGTTCAATATATTTTTATTAAAAGACAGTTTTTTATTACAGTTTCGCTATTAACAACATATTTCACAAAGTAACTACTTATCTGATTTTCCTATTTCATTGTTGTAAGTTGCAGAACTAAATATTGCAATGTGTTTTGTGCAGATAGCTATTGTTTCTCATTATCTGTCCATACTATAAAACTGTCCAAGCATATTCCTTGATAAAAGAAGAATTCCATTTTTAAAAACTCGTTAATTTTCATAAGAGGAAATGTTATTGAACAACCCAAATTTCCTTATTATTGTTCTTCCATTCGTTTTATTTCCGCTAAACCGCAGTGTTTATCTATGCTTGTCTAATATTATCTGTGCAATGCAGAGGGCGTGCATGAATGAACACCATTACTCCGAAAATCTATACCTCGCTCGTTATATCAAGGTCGCAATTCGACCTTAAAAATTAGAACAAAAATCTATGGTCTAGCTTACAAAACATTATTGTTTATATTACCCTATACCTTTCAGTTCAGTGTTACACTTCGCGTGATGAACTGATTTTACCGCATCCACTAACCTATTTGTAGAAATACCAACAAATGTTCATGTATGTTTTTCATTCTAAAATGTCGGTTAATAATCATAATTACCGGTAGTTTTATTCACTCACTTTATCAAATAAACAATGAGTCTTTTATTTTATCGCTTTGTTTTATTAATTGAAATTCTTAAAATACTTATCTTAATTTATTCAACAGGCCGTGTTATGGTTCTTGCTTTACGACTTTTTAATAACCTATCAGATTTCTGAAATGGTCTAGTCTGTATATATGTATTACATGTGATGACGTAAAAGAAACGATAAATGTATGAAAAAAAAACACATGTAATAAGAGTACAATAGATTCCTAAAAGTCATCGTCACGTAACTAGCCACCTACGTAAGCAATGAGCAGTATGACTTGTATCCTAAAAAGCCTGATTTTGACATACCTACCTACTTTGTGTCTTTGATCTCACGAGGGTTCTTTTAATTTCGTCCTTTTTTAAAAACCTCGCCAATAATACCTTTTTTGTTTAGTGACAAACACGAGCGAGCTAAAACCTCTTTATAAAGAAATGCTCTTTTATGGCCCACCTTTTTAAAGATGTGCGTAATGGCATCCCTAATAAATAAGAGGCTTTTCAATCCTAATATACATAAAAATAGGAACAAGTGTAGCTTTTTTATGCAAAGCAACTCAATATCAGAACTAATTACAAACATATCTAATTAAATGGTAAAAGTTTTGTCAATATGAGATAACGTTGCGCCATTCTTATGATACAAATATTATCATCAATCGATTTCGATACTGCATCGTTACTTGTACAAAATACGTAATCACAATCCGGAAACTTGCTAGTAATTAATATTTATTGAATAAGTGGAAATGAAAAGGTTTTATTATCCAAAGTATGTTAATTCAAATGCCCTTAGTCACTCTGTTATTTCTAAAAAGCTGTAAAATTGTTCTAAGTATAACATCCTTTAGTTGTATCTCACTATCGTACAGGATCTAAAGCTGTGTGTACACTGTTGCAGCGCAACCGGTGCGGTGGGCGGGCGTGGAGTGGGCGGCAGCAGCGCAATGCATACGTCGAGGCATTCCGTCACCTCGTCTTCGGGCGTTCTTATGGTGGGGCCTAATTTCCGCGTCGGCAAAAAGATCGGCTGCGGAAACTTTGGCGAACTTAGGCTCGGTAAGTTTATGTACTTGTAACAAGTTTCTCACAAAAACTTACTCAGTCTACATGGACGGGAGAGCTGGTTACCAACAGAATTACACATGTGTTGACTGTTCCCCGCAAATTCATGTTTAAGTTTAATGTCTGCTATATTGTCTATTAAAAATCATAGTTGATAATCCCTAAAGTATGAATCAAAATAGACAGCCATGGCGAAACTATAAAGGTTCCTAGTTTACTACGGAACTCTAAAAAGACATTTCAATATTCTTGGCTTTTGAACATTGGTGTGTAAACAAACAGCAAAAGATTGAATACAAATCTTCAATGTAATACATATTTATATGCTGGCAATGCCAAATTTTGAGGCGAAGAAGGGTTTTTGTGTTAGTCGGTTAACGAATAACCCTTCAGGTAGACCGCTATCTAAAGGGTTTTCGTTCAAATTGGCACGTGCCTATCACTAGTTTGGCAAACATCTATTTTTACACCAAAATATAAAACAAGAACTCAACGTGATTCTAATCAACGAACTTTGATGCGATGAATCATAGCCATAAGTGATTGGTTTTCTGCTCCTTCGAAATTATGTTCAACGGTGAGTGCGATGACGCATGAGACGAGAGCTTGGACCACAAAAAAATCCTGTTAGTAATAAGTGGACATGCTTATGTGGAACCGCTATTAAGTTTTACCTTATCCCACTCATGTTAACGTTGACTGCACTAACTAAAGTTAAGTACATTAGCAGCTCAATGACACCGCGTCTTGTCGACCTTACACGCTTACTGAAATATGTAAAACAATTAATGGGGCTATTTTAGACACACCCTATGTTCAAATTACTAGAGTTCTGTTATGTCCTTGTCAGTCTTCTGAATCGCCATAATGGAAACAAATAGTCTTCTTAGTCTTCTCAGTGCAGTAATTTTTAGCGCAATAATATTCATTTCCGAAAACTTTAGTAGATTTATGTGCAAGCTTACCATCTGGATTTTACAGCCGGCACATTTTGCCGTACTTACAGTTTCTTCGTATATCATTTCGTCATGCGTTAAGATTCGATATTTTATGGCCAGACCAGCCAGTCTAAACTCATTTATTCATATGATCGACGGAAATAGGTCATTAAAAAATATTGTAAAGCTAAATTTGATACGATTAAATTGATTAGCAAAAAAAAGTTGGTGGAATAATAGTCATTTAGTAAGGTCAAGTTATCATTGTCGTGAAGATCTTGAACTGATAGGAAACAGAGTGAATCGAATGTAAATGTTCCTATTGTAGCGGTCGAAGGAAAATAGGTCACTATGCTGTCTGTATTCGAAAGGCAAGCAAGCTTTCCATCACCGCATACACATAAATATTGTTGTTGCATGTTGCTTTATGCGATAAAACACATTTTATTTTGATGGCGCCTGAAGATCCGTTATATTTAACGGAGAAAGCGAAACTAATGTTTGCAAAGTGTAAGTTATATTACTTACGAAAATATCTCGCTGTATCGCAGATATTAAAGTCAGATATGAAATTTCCAACTTTTTATTTGAAAGGTTTCGTCGAGGTATTTGATAACAGAGGTTATGCATATTTTATGGTGCTATGAAAAATTTAAGTAGAATATCTAAAAGCACTTTATTAACTAGTAATGTTTAGTTTATTAGTTGGTATGGTAGAGTAGAAAATTAAAGAACAATGTACGAGAACGTTATTTTCTCTTACAACCAATACTTTTAAAATATTCATCCAGCAGGTAGAAGCAAAGTACGTAACAAAGGACCTGTGTAATAATGGAAGACTTATGACTCATTCTTTCGCTGTCAGTATTCGGAAACGCTCTTTCAAACGAGCCTTAGCCACCGTTCACACGTGCCCAACAATATGATCACTTTACAACGGCCACGAAATCTTTTAAACAAAGTACTCAGAATTTGTATATTGAAATGTCAGAGGTCCACAACACGTGAGCCTTATTTACTAGGCGGTAAGGTTTCATATGGCTGTTGTGTGAGAGATTATATGGCTGCGTGCGGATGAGAATTGGATTCAACCTCGCGTCACTGAAAATAACATTATTGCGGACACGTGCGTGAGGTGATTAAGCCGATACATACATTATTTACTTACAGAACCGTGTTTTTTAAAAATGTACCACTCACGGTGAAATTAATCAAGCTAAAAATCCCACGAATTAAAAGTACTTCGTTACTCCTGCTTAGTTTCCTGTGTGGGTTATAATTGTTTCCTCCATTTAACATTTTACCGTAACGATTGTAATCTAAAGAGCAATTAGAATTAATAACATCTTGTTCCATTTATGTTTAGACCACATTCGTACATTTCACCTATAATGTGAAATTCAGTGGAAATCATACTTGTAAACAGACACGTAGTATTATTTATTTTCCGTTGGATCCTTACGATGACGCAGATATGCGCATCACAGGAAATTCGGCACTGTTTGTGAGTTGTGACAAAATTAACGACAACAATAAGATCATTTCTAAAAATGTTTTATGTAGCTATTTGTTTATTTGGAAGGAATATGACTGTTACCTAATAAATCTGAGAGTTTCAACATGCTCGTACCCCGGAGTTATTGCAACACTCAAAGTATTTCTTCTACCTAACTCAATTTGTGTGTCACCGCTTCACCGACTTTATAACATGGAACATTGTTGTTCCATTTAATTTGTCCCCCGATAAGATTATAGATTATTGAGATCTAATACATAGTATGTTGATACGATGCTATGACGATGTTTATGATCAACGATAACGTCGATAAAGTCAACTTGGTGACGTTGTTGAACTTTGAAATGTTTTAACGAACACACTTCAGATTAATGTAAAGTAGTACACACAATAAGATCGTGTTGTTTTTATTTTTAAATAAATGTTTACTAAAGACAGCCGTGTAACTGTGTCATGAAAATAAGACATTCGAAGAGAAACGAGGTTTATTTATTTAATTTCGTATACGTAACATAATGTTGGTTTTTATGAGTAGGTCTCTGTTGCTGGCAGAGAGGTGTGTAGTACGCCCACTCTGCGCGACTTATGCTCATAGTCCCGTGTAATAGGGTGCACTTCTATTATTGCTATGCAGCGCCCACGTTGTTAAGGCTAGACTAGACTATTACTAACAATAATGAAATCGAAAAAGCCATTTCCACTTTACCCGACACGGCACCTTGCACTCCATAACCGCGCTTGCAGCCATTAGTGACTAGAACATAGAAGCAGACATTTAACTTAATCATTTATATTACTACCTCATTTAGTATGCAGTAAAATACATAACAACTTTCTCTTTCAGGCAAAAATCTCTACAACAATGAACATGTAGCGATAAAGATGGAGCCTATGAAATCAAAGGCTCCACAATTGCATCTAGAATACCGATTTTACAAGTTATTAGGCACGCATGGTAAGTTGTACCCTAATTGCATGAATAATTACATATTGTTACGAAAAGGCTAGATTGAGCGGGCCGCGACCGAAGCACTGATTTACGCTTCATATCGGTCCACCAACAATTTTAAATGGTGAATCATGACATGATCATTGCAAAACGAAATAATGTGACTAACCCACGACTATGTTGTGCATCTTAAGTTCTGAATGAAGCTAAAATTAGACTTGTCTGCCCTTGTATATGTAATACTGAATTCCATATCCATTTTTCTTCAAGTTGTTTTCATTTAAAATGATGTTCGGATAATTTATTAATTTTTCAATAGTCAGATAAATGTTATCTGAGGAATTAAATTGTTGCTGTTTCTGTCTAATACAAACAATCTGACGCGACAGCATCATATTATTCCCCAGGTAACTTTTATCTAACGTTTGAAAAATCAGCCTTTAACTGTTATAATAAATATTAATTAGGAATGAAAAGTATTAAAGAGAGATGATATTTTATATAGTAGCTAGTTATCAATAATTCAGTTGGCGATATAATTTGCTCAGAGGGCGTACCAAAAGTTTACTACTTGGGAACATGTGGCGGCCGCTACAACGCCATGGTCATGGAGTTGTTAGGGCCCTCTCTCGAAGATCTATTCGTACATTGCGGCAGAAGGTTCAGACTCAAGACGGTCCTTATGATTGCTATGCAGCTCGTAAGTGCCGTAAAACAATTCTCCGGTAGATAGGTGATTGTCTTTTTGACACAACACCGTAACCGATATCCAACTTCAAATTCAATAATCGCAACGCTTGAGGGTCCGCGCCGTGGTCATGGTCGTTGTTGAGGCCCGTCTAAATGTATTTTATTTTTTCGTTATATTATTTTATAAGGCTGAACACGTAGCAATGCTCTCGCGTGTCCTGTCGTGTTTGATGATGTAATTTGTAAATATCGGCTACAGTGTTGTGTCGCACAGGTGCGTGCGAGAGCAATGCTCGTGTATTGAAATGTCAGTAAGTACCTAATTGTGTTCGGTCTGTCTTCTCCCCTCCCTCCCCCTTATTCCCGTGGCTCCTGTAGCGCCGTCGACTGCGGAGGGCATACCGGAGGTGTATTACTTCGGCCCTTGCGGTAAATACAACGCACTGGTGATGGAACTCTTGGGCCCGTCACTCGAGGATCTCTTCGATTTATGCGGCCGTCGATTCTCTCTAAAGACTGTATTAATGATCGCTATGCAGTTGGTAAGTTAATACGCGTATAATCACAGTTCCTTCTTCTTCAAAAAAAAAATCTAGATTTTCGAATTGATCTCCAAAGCATTACAAATCTAAAAGAAATCAATTTCAGTAAGTCATTGAACTTAAATAACAGCACTGACTTGTAAGCGCGTTCAAGGAATATGATTGTAGAGAGTGCTTTAACTGGCAGACTATTGTGACGTAACTGATGCAATGCGACGAACAAACGCTTGAATTGGTAAGCAAATCAGTAATGGCGATTTAGAGCTTAAAGATTTATATTAAATTGGCAATATCGCTGGCAATTTGTGGGAAATGTCCCGAGTCGCTTTTAATGAAATGCGAGCTCTGGAAACGCTCCTGTAACTCGATCCCTGGGGTAAGGAAAGATTGTAAAAGTGGAACGAGATTCATATCGGAGAAATATATTTTACTTGGCAGGGGAATACTCTCACGTAATAATTGTACGTAAAGAAGAAAAATGCGTGAATCAGTTGATTTAATCTTCAGATTGATCAAACAACGTAGTCAACAGTATTCTTTGTGTTTATTTCAACTGGAAACAATATCTTAATTCAATGAATATTACGGCCGAATATTGAAACGTTACTCAATTTTAAGTGGATGATTTATCTCTCGTATTCTCTTTCCTCAATTTATTTTTTATACTTAAAATATAAGTCGATACCTTTCAGTATTTGACCAATAAATCACTCAACAATTGAAATAAAAACTGTTTAACTTCACTATCGATTGACTTTTAACATTTCATTCGATGATAGCAAACTGATTTGCTGCATCAATATTCAATTATCTAATGATATGCCCTTCAGTGTAATGATTTGTGCCGACGTCAATTGATAGTGTCAGCCGGAGAAACAAACTAATACTGTCCCATGTCTATTTCAGTTACATCGTATCGAGTATGTCCATACAAGACATCTCATATATCGAGATGTAAAACCGGAAAATTTTTTAATAGGTAGAACTGCAACAAAAAGGGAAAAAATCATTCACATCATTGGTAAGTCGTGTTTTGCTAATATTTATCTTGTTCACTCGCAATAAGCGTTAATTTGTATTGTACTCGAAAAGGTATTTCCTAATTCTTGGAACATTTAGGGTATGGATGCGTCAGTTTATGGAATACTTGACATAAACAGGCTAATTCTAGTCCTTGGATAAAGGGAAGTGTGTGGTTCCGACGAAGTTTTATTAGTCACCGATGTCTGTTGTAAAGAGGTCATTGACTCACTCATTAGTTAAATATTTACCGTAGCACATCTGTATCAGGCATTGGTGTCAAATATTAACTTTTCCTACACCATTTTATCTAGTCTGTATTACTATTATGATATTATTAAATCATTTAAGTCTTTAAGTTTCTCCACATACCTTTATAATTTATATTAAAAACGGAAAAATACAGGAAACATTGTGTAATGTAACCTTGTTAGGATTTATTAGAGATATTTGCACATCAACCGAGATATTGAGATAGCACATTTTGAAGGAACATACTTTTGTTGTAACTAAGGACTTAGATAGACATGTTTCTTTATCAATGCCGAATGACGATTTTGTTACGTATTAAGTGATATCACTATACAAAAACTAATATTGATATAACTACTATGAAATGGTTTGGTCTATGTTTAAGAACATGCTTGCTCGGAATTTATACACACAGTTGCAATTCAATATATACTGCACTTGTCCCGTATTTGTATTGTATTTAAACACTACAATACATACATAATAAATCCTCAACGAAAGGCCAAATGAGGTACTTTTGATAAGAATTATAAGTCACCAGGTTTGTTAACGCGTGTTACTTTCAAATCCAGATTGTTTGGAGATTCTTACAATATTTTACTAAAGATCTCTTCAAAAATGCTAATAAGAGGCAATGTTTACATCGAAAAGCGTGCAAAAGATTTGTCATAATTTTGTTTCACGTAATTATACGCTTAATTGATTATTCAAATTACGATGTCATGATTATCGGATTGAGTCATGAGGCGTTTAAAAATGAAAGTTTTGCGTACAGCAACCGATTGTAAATTGGCCCGATTAATTGCTTCGCCAATTTCCTAGTTATTGGGCAGAATAGTCTGTTATTAATTTTGGTACACTTTAAATAATTTGTATATCTTTGAGATGAAATTTTTTTACAGTAAAAATAGGTACGCGAAAAACATAGGTACGTAGTGTCTCACAGTGTCAAGATTTTCTATTATTATTCTTCGATATTGGTACTATAGAAACATTTTAAAGGATTTTGGCTTTTATTTACACATACGTTACTGCGATTTTGGCAATGTTAGAATTGTTTATTCGTTACTTTGTAGTACAATATCGTATAAAAATATTGTTATCGATATGCGCCCCCAGACAGATTATCTTTAATAACATTTTCCATTGAAATATTTGCATTCTGACATTGAAACTACAATTGTTTTTAATGCGTGTAATTTCACTAATAGCTAACGTAAACTCGTAACTAGCAGTGCTTAATTATAGAATTAGCAATTCTTGGAAGGAACGTAGTTATAGTACATGTCTGTTCCTTGTATGTACTTAAATAGTGATTCCAATTCATTGAAGAAAAACAGTTGCAGGCAGGGGAACAATTAAAATCTAGTTACTATATTCACCCCCGGTTTCCGAAAGGCCGATCAATGTTTAAATCAATTTAATCCATTGTCAAGTCATCTGATTGGTTGACTGAATTATCAACAACTAATCATATGACTTGACAAGACATTTAACAGGAGATTAGTTAATTTTAACGTTGACAAGCCTTTCATAAACCGGGTGTCAATGCTAATAATTATTTATTTACTCTTTGGCTAGCCATCGTTAAAAGAACATTTTATAAAATAAGGCAGTTATTGAAAATAACCTACGTATTCGCCTGAATTAACTAAAAGTGAAAGCTTGTGCTCGTGAAACGCTGCTCATGATTAAGAATCCCGTTATGACTTGAAACTAGTAGAGCTTTTCTCAATTAAATCACGTGAGTAAGTTGTTATTTTCAATAAATTCAGTGGGTCTCGCGATGGTTACTATTCAAAATAATAATCAGTTGTGGTTTTTCCCTCTCGGGCCTATTCTAAGCGTTGTATATCTTAGTGAGGTAGAGACAAGTCCAACAATCTTGAACATTGATTACCATTTGATAAAATTTCATTCAAATTGAAATAATGCCTTTCTAGCGTAAACCAACATATTAAGTTTTGTCTGCCTGTTACCACACACTCGTTGCGTGTTAAATACTAATGAAAAATGCATTGAGTTTTGTTCTCTTGTCCAAGGTATTCACACTAGTAATAAAACCTTATCTGATTCTTAATTAGGATATTATTGTTCTATACTACAAGCAAGTTTTTTTCTGAAATAAGTCGGCAAACGAGCGTAGGGATTACCCGGTGGCAAGCCATCGGCGCCGCCCATGGACACCCCCAGCACCAAAAGAGTAACGAGTGCGTTGCCGGCCTTTTGAGGATAAGGGTTTCGGATATTTAAGAATTGTAGAGGCATGGGGGGTGAGTATTGGGCCACCGGTAACCTCACTCACACGGCGAAACACAACGCTGTGGTTGTTTCACGTCGGTTTTCTGTGAGGCCGTGGTATCACTTCGGTCGTGCCGAAGCTTGGCGCTCCCACACTTAGTCACAAGTTTTAAGATGAAGTCTTTTAATATTAACTCTGTTTAAAGTTTTCTCTTAACGATTGTTTGTTTAATTATATTAATGTTCCATTGTAATAAATACGCCATATTTTTGCATTGCACTGATACTAATCTCGGAAACAATGCTGGCATACATCACTAGACTCGGTCAATGCTCATAGCGTGTTGATGGTTTCCTATTTCTGAAACTAGATTTTCTTTAGTTCTCATGTTTTACGTAACATTTTTATCACGGTTGTTTTCTCCTAGAAGATAGCATATGTATGGTAGTAGTTTATAATGATCTTTTGGCTCGAATATTCTAGGTAGATCAACAAATCTAGTACAGGTGACTAATAAACTTTATAGTACTTTTGCTTGACCCTAGAATAGAGTTCAGGGTCTCAATAATTGCCACTCTAAATTCCTATTCGTACTGCATCTAACCAGATTAGAATTAGACAGGCAAAAAATTCCACATCTACTAATGACCGAACTCCCTCATAAAAATGGTAACGAAATTTTATTGCACACAAAAATAATGATGGCGTCCGGTAAAACCCACGCTAGTGTTAATGTGGGAGTCACGTAAAGTAATGACTAGTGTCAACGATTGTCATTTGTGTAATGAAGCATTGCTTCAAGCATTGGCTGGTTTTAAGTGATAAAGTCATTCACGATCGCGTCACTATGATTAGGTAACTCGATATAACAATAGTGAGGTAATACAATCTTAGAACGAGGTCTGTGGTTTACTACTCGTGTTCCCTAACATTTGTTAGTGTAGGTTTTTCTATGTGACGGACATGTGACTGTTATGTTTGTCTATTTGTTTATCTTAAAATAAATAAGTTCCATATAATGTAGCCTATTTTTAACAGGTTACTTATATTTTGTTGATCATTTAGCACTGATATTAATATAACGTAGAAATAAGTAGGTAAATAATATTTTGGTTAACCTTATTTTTTTAGGAACGCACAACCAAAACACCTATCATGTTTATTGGAAAACAATAAGTTGTAATTTACTCGTCGAAGGTTTCAATTTTTATCTAATTACTACTCTGTATCCCTAGTTGTCTCTCATGATCCCTAGTTCGATTAGTAAAATGAAAAAAGTATCTACACATCATTGCCATGTTTAGTTATGCAATTAATTAATGTTACACAAGAAAGCGTATATTTTACCATTTGGTAGAACAAAAATGAAATTCCACTGCTCAACTTTGGTTCTCTTCTTCGCAAGAGGATTTTCCATAATCTCTATATGCGATAGACGGGTTTGAGGTAACAGAGTACCTTATGTGATTGGTCGTTTAACTTAGAGATAGCCAATGAGAGCACCGAATGTCATTCGTTTGTGCTAAAGTAAAGCTAACTCACACTAAGAACTGTTTATAATGTTTAGGTTCGTCCACGTGCGCTGCTGTCCAATGTCTGTCCTACGTTTTAAATAATAGCAAGTTTTAGCCCATGGATCGACCACGTTAATCCTTAGCGGGACTATCAGTAGATTTTTTTAAGAGAACATTCATTATAGACATCCCTTTTTTCTTGTGTGAGGAAAATAATCCAATGACTTCTCTCGCCCAGGGTCGGGCGGGAGGGAGTGTCAGACTCTTACTGACTAAAATCCCCTCCGTTCCTTCTCCTGCTTTAAGCCGAGATTGCGGTGCCTCATTATGCTTACCCCACAACCCCGGCACATCAGCCCTATAGGGCCCCGTCTGTGGTGGTCTATTGACGCTTTCAGGCTTCTAAACATCCCTACGATCACTGTTCCATTAAAACCATATCATGCAGGGAAATACCTTTTCGTACTTATTTTAAGTATTATGTTTATTTTTACACGTGATTGATATGTTAATCCTTATATCGATACCTACCTAATTATTAAATCAATAGATTGTAGGTAATTAAGAATGTAGATGGGTTTTGTTGTTGACAATTTATAATTAAAGTTTCTGTATTATATATGTATCTAAAAAGGTGTTTTAAACTCTTCGACTTTGATTTATGTATTAGTGTAAGTTGGCTAAATTTTCACGCTTCTGCTTAACATTCAAGAAAAAGGAATCGTGATATGTAATATGTAATGGATTACAAATCTTACAATGAACAAGCCAGTCATCGGTCGTACCGTTGATGTATTCAACACAATATTCTTAAACTGATAAAATGAACGTCATTACGAGGTCAATGAATTTAGCGGTCTCTGCAGTACTAGCAATTATTTATAGCCACCTTTTTGTATAGCCGTTCGTCCATTCTATACATATGTCTACGTATATTCCAACTCGATAATAAATAAATTAAATTAATCGATTCGTCTGAAATTCTTGAAGCGAATGGAATCGAACGCCTTTGTCCTCTAACGATACGGTCATGGATAACAATGTGCCTCTTGTTTCAGATTTTGGTTTGGCCAAAGAATATATAGACTTAGAGACAAACAAACATATCCCATATCGGGAACACAAGTCACTCACAGGGACTGCGAGATACATGTCAATAAATACACATTTAGGAAAAGGTAATGTATTATTCTGTTCTATGAAAGACAAGATACTTATCACCCCTTCAACCTTGGGGAGTTTAATGACATTAAATGTACTTAGTACATTCCGCACATTGAAATAGTTCGTGGAATATGGTCTAATTTGTATTCAACATGCAACTTCATACGATAATTCATACTTAAAATAACATGTCTGCTTATACTTTTCACAGAACAATCAAGACGCGACGACCTAGAGGCTCTTGGGCATATGTTTATGTATTTTTTACGCGGTTCCTTACCCTGGCAGGGTTTAAAAGCTGATACACTTAAAGAGCGATACCAAAAAATTGGTGACACCAAACGAGCGACGCCTATAGAGGTGAGTATTCATATATTTATACCTGTATCTAGATACCTAACTACCCAGACGGGAGGGTGGATCATTGATTAAAAAGCCAGTCTCAACGTTATTTTATTAACGCCGAAAACATTGACGTCAAACAATACGATACGAATCATTGCCATGGTGAAATATGGATATTCCATAGGTAATCAATTTTGAATCAAAGGATAATTCACCTTATCTACACGCTACAGTGATCATATTACAAAATTTACACGCTTTTAAAGCAATATTGAGTTTTCTACATTATAATGAAGTTCTACATTATAATGAAGGAATGGATGTTATCTTAGGAGCGATAATTACGAATGGGAAAGGAGATATTATAAATTAATAGTTGACGGATGACGTTATAAGGCTATCAATGGCGCGGACCTATCGGTGTTTTATCAATATGATCACATGATAAAACCAATTACAATTCATTTGACCTAAGGTCTCATGATTAGGATAGTATGGTCGCAACATTCTTAAAAAAATGATTTTAAACTGCTCTATTAGTTTGTAAATATTCGTGCATATGACGTTAATATTGGTTTTACATTCACATAAATTCTCTATATAAAATAAATGAGACAATCCTTTATTATTTAAAACTAGCTACCCCCGCGCGGTTTCAGCTGCTCGGCTCCATTTTATCGCAGCGTGAAATAAATAATTTTGGCGATCCGATAATAGATCAGTGAAATAATTTTGGCAATCCGACCAGCCGTTCCAAAGATTACTCCCTACAAACAAACTTACAAACTTAAAAATTTTTCCTCTTTATAATATTATATTACTAGCAAAAATGTTATCACTAGCATTTTTTGGAGTACTAAATATTAATATATTTTTTACAACATATCGGCGACACCCAGGGACACTCGCAATGTTAGAGCTATAAGTGCGTTGTCTGCCTTTTGGAAATTAGGGTTTTGGGGGAAGGTTAGGTCTCCGGTAATCACTCATACGACAAATCACAACGCAAGAGTTCTTACACGTCCGATCAAATAATTACAAACAAAACTTTCAATACCAATAATGGAAAAACACGTAATGGCATAATTACCCTTTCTTACTCATAACTATTAATCGTCTCCACGAAGTTGCCCTTCTGTTTACGATCAGGTACTCACATCGAACCTAATTTTCACGGTAGTCGACGTCACAAAGTAAATTATTATTGAAGCGAAGTGCCTAATCATTTATTTACAATGTTATTGCATAGAGGTCAAGACTAGGTTTTTAGGGCGCACCGTCCTTGTTCAACCTAAGAAATGTTGAGACAGTTATACTCTAGTTTAGTGTCTTAGATTGAGGTGATCAACTAAGAATTACTTTTCCAAATATACTTTTTTTATAGTTCTTCAAGGCCTTTTATGGCGCAGTGGTTTTATGATTATTGTTGCTATGTTGTTAGTTTGTTTCTAGTGTAAGCTCTTTCCAGTGATACCCGGATGAGGTTGTCTGCGCGCAGGTTACATACTTAGAGTATATTGTTATTAGTCTCATAGTAATAGCAACAGTTATCTGATTTGGTAAAGATAATTATTTGTTTTATTACCATACGTAAGTAGACTACCTTGGTGCTTTATCGTGATTAATATTTCGATATCTAATTATAGAAGTACCTTGAAATCGTAGAAGGAACTTTAAGTACTTAATTTCAATCAATGTTAAGCAGGTTAAAATTTTGATGCATTTTACTAAGTAATCTTTAAACTTGGTAAAGAAAGTTTTCAATAAGATGCCGCAATAAATAGTCTTACAACCATATTGTTTGGTATTAACAATTGTTTGCCATAGTTTTTCTACAAATGTTTATTGAAATAATCTACAGGTGCTATGCGAAGGCCATCCCGAGGAGTTGGCGACGTACTTACGCTACGTGCGCCGGCTCGACTTCTTCGAGACGCCCGACTATGACCAGCTGCGGCGGATGTTCCGTGATCTCTTCGAGCGCCGCGGCTACGTCGACGACGGCGAGTTCGACTGGACTGGCAAGACCATGGTAAACAATTCTGTAGCATGACAACCCTACTTATGTTCCTTTAATACCTTCTAGGGTATGTATAGCTGACGTCACGCGTGTGGCGGTTGCTTATTCTAACTTACTATCCCCAAAGGATCCTTAACACAGCAACCAAAACACGCCCAAAAACATCTAGGAAACTTAACTAGATTCTATAAATCTAAGAATCGGGCTACGCCCTCGCTCGTTCACTTAGAAGCAACGTAAGTGGCTCTTGAAAATCACACGTGAATTCCGTCCTTGATAATACGGATACGTTAAGTATTTGCATTCTTGCCGATAAGTGGACGCACTCCCTGACAATCATACACGCGATTCTCGGTATCAAGAATTATAATCAAATCGTAAGTGACGATTTTATCGCATTTACGGCAAAATAAAAACATTTCTGTCAGTCTGGGTGATAAAATAATTGATTGGTTTATGCTTATGAAGTGGGTCTTTATGAGATCATTACTTAGTGCCTGTAGTCATGAATTAAGCCTAAAGTAACGTACCTATCAACAAATTTGATCCAATGGAATCCCAACAAAGATTTGTAATCCGTTCGTCGTAATCTAACTACAATTATGTTATCGAGATATGGCGATGTATCGCTCCACATCTCATTCAACTCCTAATTGCTATCGTTATGCACTCCGAATGTAGTTACCGAGACCGTATTACTTGGCTATCAGTCGAGGATGTTATACTTCTTTACCCTATTGTCTAGCTGACGTTAAATAAATTTTTATTTATTAAAAAAATATGTAACATTTTGATCAGTATTTATTTGCTCCCTAATTCATTCAATATTCGTCATAGCTTCCTTAGTACAGTCTAAAAAAATATCTGAAAATGGTTTTATTATTCTATTTTCCGTCAGTTACTCTGACGTTGATTTTGAACTCTATATGTTGGAACCTGGACTCGATTTAAACTGCAAACAAAATGTTATTGAGTATCGCGTGTATGAGACTTTTTATATATTTGTTGTATGTTTATCGCTTTTCTAACAATTTTCAACCTTATTAAGTTATCTGAACTTATAACGATATCAAATTCAGAATCAAGGTTTGTTTTTACCAAAAAGTAAAGTACCAAAGATTATTATAAAACAACAAAACATATTTTTAATGTGATTCGTTATAATTTCCGATAATGTATTGCCATCTAAAACTATGGTATTCCCCCGAAGCTTAGCCTTGCACGTTAGTTATGCTTTTATGAGCTCGTTTGTTTACAGTTAAAAATAGCTATTGCCATACCGAATACTCTACTTAACGGCTTCTTATAACGAAAGCTTATGTGACGAAATTAGAACAAACAACATTAAAGCCGTTTTGTAGATTTTTTAATCAATTTTCCTAGAGGTTAACGCCCTTTTCTTGAATAACTAGGGTAAATGCTGCCTGACTTTTTTCGTGTGTTGCTGTAACTTAGCTGGTTTTTAATTTTAAACTATATAATTTTCATTCTTATAATAGACATGCGTATCAATTAGCCAACCAACACAGTACTTATATTGAAACGGCGCGAATATACTCCAGGTGAAAAAGTATACAACTTTAAATAATTTGAATTTTAAAACAGGTTTACACAGAGTTTTATTATAGATTAGTTTTATGTATTGTCTTGAAAAAAATCTTTGAAATATGTAGAAAGCCACTGCATACATTACCTTCAATCTTCAGTTGAAAGAGATACTTTATTGGCTAAACAATACCATTTCAACGTTAAAATCTCGTTCAGGTTTTGTTTATTCACCTTGAAGTCTTAATTCGTCCCGTTTCATTGAAAGTTTACAGTTGCAAATGTGTTTGTCTTTCTAAAACTCGGTGCTTTTGGTGGCATGAGTCTATCTGTCTTATCGCGTCCTTGATTGTTTCACGAAACTACTAATTCTAGACTGATATTGTAATAGACCTTATTTTATATCTCACGTGCGCGATAGGGCGCGATATCCTCATATTTTCTTGGCCTGATATGCTAAGCTACGTCGCACATATTGTATGCATCGTTGACAGGCTTGGATCGTCCCGTCCATGTCTTCATGCCCCTGCAAAAGTTGACATCTTTGTTTCGCCATTATTACATCTATTTAAGTATGAAACGAGAAAACGCATGCGCCAATTTCGACCTTAATATTTACTGCCTAAAGAAGTGCAATGTAAATACAAAAATCAAAGTTCCCAAAATGTCAACTTTTGCAGTTTTTCTACTAAAGACTGATGTTAGTTTACTAAGTTTTGATTGTACTGCTTCCTCATTTTTCAACTAAATTACAACACAAATGTGTTAATATCATAACGTGCCTAAAACTATGAAACGGCATTTATATTTCGCAATTGCTCTTTGGACATTATTTTTTGTTAATATTTTTTTCTTTTTCGATCGTTACCATAACGGATTATGGTCTAATTAATGAATTAAAATAATTGTTTGAATTATATTTCCTTAGATAACATCGCTAATGGTAGAAGTTGCATAATTTATTATATTTGTTTAATAAAATAAAATTTTATGCCCTTATCTGTGTGTTTTTGTGTAGAGTTGGCTTTCATAGATGTACGGTTTGATTTAGGCACTGGGATTCATTCACTTACTATTTTTATGTTGCAATCTTCATATCAAGGACTTTCGAAAGCTGAAGAACTACTTATTTGGTCCGAACTTTGACTTTAGCCCTTTACACGTTTTTATATGAGATATTATTGAACAAATGGGAAGTTCTTAGCACATTAGCATGTTCCGTGCGGTACATTAACGTTGGTGTTGCATGCATGCTTACCGCTTTTGTTCGTTGCTGGTGGACAGCCTTCGAACATTCACGTGATGCGAATCTTGCGCAACGCACCGCCCTCCAATGTGATTAGGAATAAGTCTGACAAGGTTAGTGGCGACGACTTATTATTATCATCGGCGAGGAAACAAACTTCTCAAGAATTTAAGGGTATTTTTATACTATTTTCTTGTTATTTGCGCAAAAAATACTTGTAAAGAAAAATAGGCGTCACGCACTATTTGCGCAAATGTTTACGCATGTCTGGCATATTTAGTATTTTGAAGCATGGTGTCTTGCTTATTATTTTTGGTTCTTTATCATTCCTTCTCCATGATGTAAAAATAACATTAATGCACATGAAAGCTCTAGAAATTGTAAATAATTTTGTAATTAAAAAAATCTTTTAAAATCTTGTTATTTATATGCCATTTTCAATTTGATATGTGTATGATTACAGTCAACACCAGTGGGTTCGATCCAGACGGGGCATGAGATAGTAGTCTCACCCAATCGCGACAGTCATCAGCCCTTTCATAAGGTAATTATTTCACGCATTTTAAACCCTATTTTTTTTTATGACGACCACATCCATTCATTCTTGACAAGAACTTTTACAAAAATAGGTAAACCATAATAAAATTTTAGGGCTTCTTTCATCTGAATGCTATTGGTTTTTTTATTTAATTAACTTCTATTTCTTCCAATTTTGTTGTTTCTTTTATTTTAAAGAATTTTAATAAATAAATAGTATTCTATTTCTTACATAGAAAAAAAAGTGTATGTCAAAAAGCCCGCCATTAGAAACCGCCATCTTGGTTTTTTTTATCTGTTAAAAAACAGTTATATTTTTTTTTGGATTGAGAAGTGCTCGTGACGCGTACTGATTCAGCTTTTTTGTCGGTGCAGGATGATTTGTGTGATTATATGATTGGTTTGGTTGAGGACGATGAGGCGGCGCTAATATCCGGAGAGGTTTGACCCGCTTATACTCTCGTTGTTTTTAAAACCCGCTGACCTTCGCTCGCCTCAACAATCTCCATCAAAAATGTTACCAAAATCAGTGTTTAGTTCTCCCAAAAACCGTTGTGACCCTGTTATTCCATTTAACGTTTTATTTTTACATCCTCTTGTGTTTTTGTCCGTCCTGTGAAGAAAAATCTTTCCTTGATGTAGTTTTTGTTTAATATTATATTGACGAGCTCGATTTATAGATGTAGAAATGAAACAATATCCGTTCATATCATTTACCGTTGCTTAGCGCTTTAGGGATGTCCGCTAGTGTTTATTCTAACAACGAATATTGTGTTTTTGTGTGAGTTTTAAGAATGCTACCGAATGAAATGGTTTTATAGACAACAAACGTAAGAGTTTTATATTTATTTTGCCCCTTTTCTGGAGTTTTTGCAAATGTAATTAAAAATATTCAATTTATCTAACATTTTCATGTAAGTGATGACTTAATCATTACATTTGTATAATTCTCCTAGATGACTTTGTTTACCTCTAAAATGAGGTGAAGTCATTCACCTTCCCGTGTATGGAACCTGTGACTTTCCACGTGTTTGTTTGTGAATTCCAAAGTTGTGCTAAATTTGTCAATCTGTACAGGGAATAGGGTTTATTTTAAAAAATATGTTTGTCTTACCATCTAGCAATCACAATGAAATAATAATATGACACCATAAAATCCAAACAACCAGCGTCCTCTTTTAACTATTTAAAGTACCAATACTATTTAAAATCTCATAATCTGTATCCGTTAAGTTCTACATAATATATGTTTAAAGTTACAAATGTCTAAAGGACCCATAGAATAGCTAATTCAACCAACCCGGGACAATTTATTCCTCAACAGATTAGAAATAAGCCTTAGCGTAGAAGATCACGGTTAAGTATGGACATATTAAAATAATCATATACATAATTTAATTATAACCCATATTATACACACTTTTCACACTATTTAGGAGTGTTTAATACCATCACAAGACACAATCCACAAATTCGGTAGGACATCACCACACGGATTCTATTATTTCGACTCGTGTCCACCAGATGGCAGCGCTGGCGAAGACGAAGGATTTCGGTACCGGTGGTACGGCGAACACGGGCGGTAACTGGCCACACAGCGGGAAGGCGACGCCACTTAACACTGGCCATCTCACGCCCGCAGACAGACACGGATCTGTGCAGGTCAGATTTAAAAAAATAAATGTCAAAATGGCGGCCATCTTTTTTTCGTTCAGCTGTCAAATTGTTGCATTGTTTATAATTGATGATTAAAAATTATTTGATCAAATGTCATATTAGTTGGTCATATTTTATACAAGTTTGAAGAAACTGAATACTTTCGTGTTAAAAAAGAAATTAGCCATACAAATATATCCAATTTATGATTGGAAGTTGATTTGATGAAAATATGAATTAAATTTACATTTTCAGAAACAAAAATAGACGAGTAACTAATCACCACACATGATGATCTTAATATAGAATTTGTTATTAAACACAATGTACCTATTGTGATTCAGAAAATTAGATCTAATGGTCACATAATTTAGGTTAAAGTTTGTTCGCCCAATATTTAGCAGTAACACACCCATCCGAAGTACCGTATTTAGTTCACCAATACCAAATAAAGTAGAAGAGTACACACAACTACACTGCATGATCTTCATTATTTTATTATTATTATTATTTTTGCATTATTTATTATTTTATACGTGAATTGTGAATGTATATTGGTGTATTTATTTTTTAGCTATTGAAGAATAAGCATTTTCGGTATGTGAAATTTCCCGGATCGGTATCCACGGTCAGTTTTGAATATTATTGCGGCAATCCTTGTGTGAATGTCTGCATGATACGCTTTGACGTGCTACCAGTGAGGCCTGTGCTACGCTCATTTTTATATTCTCCTGTTATTCTTTCCTCTACGTAAGCTTATTTTAGTAAAATATTATTCTCATTTTCATTGTTTGAATAGTCTTTTTTGCCTGGAATTAATTTTACTCTATTTTTATTTATATATACTTTATTCCTGGATTATCGATATACATTACCACATTTAGCAGCCTCAGATAATGTAAAGCTCTTTTTACAATAACAGGTTAATATTAAAAAAGTAGTATGGCCAAACTGTTAAAGCTTTGAACCAAGCACTGCCAATATTCATTCATAAAGTATTTCTGTACACGATTTGAGCTTCTAATTAGGACGCTACGTTAATATAAATAATGTTCAAGTTAAATTGCACGCATTTATTTGCAATAAGTAGTTATTTTATTTTTCACAGAATTTTGACGCTTATGTCTTTCGTTGTTGTTGTAAATATTGGACCTTTTTGTGTAATGTCAGTTTCTACATACCGAAATATGATGTTACACGACAAAAGTAGAATAAATATCTGTATAAAGTCAAAGTCAAAATCATTTATTCCAACTAAACCATAAATAGGTACTTTTGAAACAATGTCAACAATTGTAACATATAGTGGTGGTCTTCTTAAAAGTGAATTTAAAAAAATTGTTGAAAGAATGCCTTGCAACTTCCACAGTTCATCTAGAGAATTAATTTGATAAAAAACTTTTAATTCTTTTAAGTCCATTTTTGTAGAAACTTACGTTATGCAAAAAGTGTTTTAAAGAGCTTTCTATTAAGTTTCTTTTTTTTATGTATTTTTACTGACACTAAACACAAATGTTACGTACCTATTATCAAAACTGAAACACAACCCAACTTAGTTTTAATAATTTTATTAAGATACTGTCATATGAATATTTGTAAACGTACAATTAGGCCAAGAGCATCCGAGCATTTGGCAAAATTTTATAGGAGAACGCGTGAACGGCTAGACTGATTCCGATAATTCTTTAAATACTGTGTTAAAAAAAAGTTATAGGAAATTTTTGAAAAAAAAATTAGGGAATAGGTATTCGGTGATATAGTGGTTCGTTAACAAATAAATGGCCGAATCCAAGGTATTTGGACAGCCGTGGGAAGTTAGAACCGGTTACTAGTTGTCAATAAATAAAAATAAAAAATTGAAATTACCATTAAATTGGGTAGTGTTTAAGTACAATATAGTAGATATAAGTCACAACCTCATACAAGATCAGAATCCATTTTAGCTACAGGCTCCTGTAGATAAAAAAGCTTATTGTTGTGGGAAATAATTACTAAAATTGTATATTTATATGTTTTTAGTACATGTCTAAATGGGTAGCACTTTGTTCGTATATCAACGAGTTTTACAGCAAAGAGTTTTCCGTTAAAAATAACGACTTACATATAATCGACTATTTACATATTTTAAATTATAATGTGAATAAGATTCCCATTATGAATTGAAACTAATAGACTTGACTCACGTTATTTTCAACAAATTTGTATTTATCACGACAGAAATTACAAAATAACCAGATGTATTATTAGTGTAATTTAGGGATATGAATCCCTAAATTAAAACAGAATTAAATTACTTTTAACAACATCTTAAAACTACTATCCTAAAATATCACAATTATCATGACACGTTAACGTCTCAAAATCTAAATATCGCTACACGTTGGTCTTCAGGTGGTGAGTTCAACGAACGGCGAGCTAGGCGCGGACGACCCGACCGCTGGCCATAGCAACACGCCGATAACGCAACCGCATCACGAGGTCGACGTGGTAGACGACACCAAGTCAGTGTTCCAACTGTATGCATTCCTTTTTTATTTTTTTTATACCATATTTTAATTTTACAAGCCTGGTGGTTGGTTCCCTTTCATTAACACTGTCCATCATGCTTTAATCGCCGATTTTGCAGTCTCTTTCTCGTGTACAATGATAATTAAATGGTCTCAAAGTCTCTTAGTATAATGTTAATTGTCTTTTTATTAGTTTTTGTGGGTTAGAGACTGTAAAACTGGTCCTAAGTGTAACAAATAATTGGCATTGTAAATAAAGCCTTATACTTTTTTTGACTGTAGGGTCCGAATCTATGTATAATCTGTAGGGTCCTATCAAAATAAGGGTAACTTTCCATGAAAATTGAGTTCGATTCTCACTTGAATAAAACATTATCAATTGAAACAAGTTTTCTATGAATTTTCTGAATAAATATTTCAATCAAAGACATTAAAATAAATAGTTTTATCAAAATACTCAATATGTAAATCAATTGAAAATCGATATAAAACAATCAATCAGTCCCCAAGAGAGAACACTGCAAACATATATTATCATTATCAAGTTTATTTTTCATACATTGTCCAAAGCATTTTGAACCTTATTCCACTGTTTGCAAGCACTTCCCATTATTATGTCCTCACTTTTGATGTTGTAAAATGTTGTGATCACAATTAAATCCATACTCATGTACACTGCGCTGCGAGAAATAACATTTAAGGGTTTATATCTGTAATGTCGAAAGAGATAAAATATAAGATGCTTCGCCAAAATACGTTTTATACGTATTGGCATAAGGTCTAATCTACTCGATGTATTGTAACTTTATTCACACAACATAGGAGATAATCCTATTATTTATTGGGCAAAAGTTTTAAATCAAAATATGGTATTTTTCGCAGCGTATGCGTGCAATATTATCAGCTAGTTACCTGACAGACTCTGTAAATCGTCATGCAGACAATCTGTGTATTCCAGATGCTGTTGTTTCTTCAAACGCAAAAAGAAGAAGTGCGCGGCGCGGGCCGGCAAGTGACGCGAGTGCGCGTGACGCCCCCCTCCCCCTCCCCGGCCCTCCTGCCCCTCCCCCTCACACGCCCGCACCGCCCGCACCCGCCCAGTTGCTCCCTCTATACGTACCTCCATACACATGTACTTACATCTATCTATCAGTCTACTATCGCTAGCTCGTTTATTTCTCGACCGTTTTTTGATGGTACGGAACTTAACAGTAAAATTAACTTCCAAATACGCTTACGTTGAATGCCTAGAATATACCCAGCGTGTCGGCCGGTACTCTGGGCGTATTCATATCGCGGTAAGTAACACGCTAGACTAAGATAAGTTTCTTGAACTCTTTAACAAAATCTTCTGTAGGCTACTACGGCCTGTGTGTTGAGATTAAGACTCGTGTTAATGTCGGCTCCTGCTATAGTGCGATGCAAGCAAGACGGTTAAAATAATCTAGAACATTTTTGGTGATCGACATATTTTTGTTATGTAGTATAATTGTTAACCAGAGTTGTAAGGAATCAAGAGAGATAGTTGATGCGTTGTTATTAGTTGTAAAGTAAATATATATCTGCGTCGCCCTATAGGTGGAGCCAGTGTACATCGAGCAACTGGGTTAAAAGTTTAAATGTATGAAAATTTATTGCCGATTTATTTTAACAATCGTATGCTACCCGATCCTCGATTATCAGAATTTTATTCAATATAATTTTAGATTTTGTAATATTGAGTAATCCATAATGCTAACTCATTATACGAAGCTATCATAAGTTTTAGTTTCATTTTGACCTTACGCGTAACAAAGGTGCATTAAAATGTATTGAGTGGTTGGCAAATCATATATTTCAGAATATAGTAACTATACAAGACGTTATAGCCCTATGTACCAGTTATATACCTTTATTGCGTTAATTGTTAATAAATAATGGACACTTCCATTTAGATACTCGATGCATTGAAGTAAAACATTACAATTTTCTGTTGTCACTACTATTAGTGTTGCGTAAGAAATAGTATTTGTCAACAGAGTTGATCTAGACGCGGTCATACCACATTACTAGGACATGGATAGTCTGTGTTAGTTACTCTTAACTTAGATAAATCATACATACACTCAAGAAGTAGGGTGGACTTTGTGCTGCCCTGTCGCTGAATTTGTCATATTCCGTTCTTCCTGTAGTTTCGAACTAAGACAGTCGAGAGCAGCGGCGGGGCAAGACCTAAATTTGATGTGGGCAAGACAGATTTCGCGAGGCCCTGTTCTATGGCGACCCAAAGACGGATTTTATAAAATAATAAAAACAAACAAAACAATTAACACTGCCAAGTTTTTATTCAGAAAAATACAAATTAGGTTCATCATCATCAGCCTGTTGTCGTCCACTGCTGGACATAGGCCTCCTCAATTGCACGCCACTGAGCTCGATGTTCAGCTCTTCTTATCCAACCACTGCCAGCCACCCTGCGGATGTCGTCAGTCCACCTAGCTGGAGGGCGCCCTACACTACGTTTGCCTAGACGTGGTCTCCACTCTAGAACACGTTTACTCCATCGGTCATCGGTTCTTCGACAGATGTGACCTGCCCACTGCCACTTAAGTTTGCTAATCCTTTGGGCTATGTCGATAACCTTAGTTCTCTGTCGGATCACCTCGTTTCGAATACGATCCTTCAGAGAGACTCCAAGCATAGCCCTTTCCATAGCTCGCTGAGCGACTTTAAATTGGTGGATCAGTCGCACTGTAAGTGTCCACGTCTCGGCTCCGTATGTCATCACTGGTAGGACGTACTCATTGAAGACTTTTGTCTTCAGGCTTTGCGGTATCTTTGACGAGAATACCCGACTGAGTTTCCTATACGCTGCCCAGCCAAGCTGTATCCTCCTACGAGCCTCCCTCTCGAAGTTGTTTCTACCGAACTGGATAGTTTGCCCGAGGTAGACGTACTCTTGAACAACCTCGAGAGGAGATCCATTGATGGTGATCGGCTCCGGGAGAACATGTTCATTGAACATGACCTTCGTTTTTTGTAGGTTCATCCGGAGTCCGATGCGAGCAGAGGAATCAGCCAGGCTGTTCAGCATATATTGTAAGTCCTGCACGGTTTCAGCCACGATTACAATGTCATCTGCAAATCTCAAGTGTGAGAGATACTTGCCGTTAATATTTAGGCCCCGGCCTTTCCAGCGCAGCGTCTTGAACATATCCTCCAAAGCATTAGTAAACAGTTTGGGGGAAATAACGTCCCCCTGTCTTACGCCCCGATGCAGGTGGATAGGTTCAGACTGCTGGTTCTGTACTTGAACGACCATAGTGGCAGCATCATATAGATCTCTCAACACTTGAACATACCGCCAGTCGACTTGGCACCGTTGCAAGGACTCCAGAACAGCCCAGGTTTCGACAGTATCAAAGGCTTTCTCGTAGTCCACAAACGCCAGGCATAAGGGCAGATTATACTCTTCGGTTTTCTGTACAATCTGCCTCACTGTATGTATGTGGTCCACGGTACCATATCCCCCTCGGAACCCGGCCTGCTCAGGGGGCTGAAACTCGTCGAGTCTTCGCGCGAGACGATTTGTTATGACCCTGGAAAACAGCTTATAGACGTGGCTCAGAAGAGAAATAGGTCGGTAGTTCTTCAGAAGGGTTTTGTCTCCCTTTTTAAAGAACATAATGACGACACTTTTGCCCCACGCCCTTGGAGTTCTCCCCGAGAATAGAACGGAATCAAACAAGCGTTTAAGTCGCTCAAGCACTGGCTTTCCACCGGCCTTTAGGAGCTCCGTTGTAATTCCATCCTCTCCGGGGGCTTTTCCATTTTTAAGCTGCTTCAAAGCCAACGCAATCTCGTCTTGGCTGATCTCTGGCATGTCTTCGGTAAAGTGGCGGATAAGTGTGGCCCTAGGATCCCCCGAGTCTCGATATGGACGCGGTGCTTTTGAGGTGTACAGATCACCGTAGAAGCGCCGAACCTCCTCGAGAATTTCCGGCTTAGAAGAGACGATATTACCATCCGGTGTGGTCAACTTCGTCAGATGGCTTCGATTTAATTGCTGGCTGAAGACTTTTGACCCCCGGTTTCGCTCAATCGCTTCTTTTATAGCGCGAGTATTGGCGCTTCGGAGATCACGTCTTATCAGCTTTGAGATCTTTTTATTAAGATCTGACGAAGCGACTGATGGGTTGTTACGTCGCCTCTCCATAACCTGTAGGCACTCTCCCGAAAGCTTGGCGCCCCTGCCGGTATTCTGCTTCCGCCATAATCTCGTCCCTTCGTCTCGGAGGATCCCTACTGTTTGGTCAAGTTCCTGGTCGATATCAATGTCATTTGTGGTTTCCAAGGCAGCAAATCGGTTTTCCAGTTTTAACTGAAATGTTTCAGACCCAACCACGGCTTGGAGCAAGTTTGGTCGGAGCGTAGACTTCATGAGACGGACACGCTCGGAGTCATATTTGATGTTTAGAGTGCCTCGCACAAGTCGGTGATCACTTCCGGTATTAAACCTATTGATCACTGAGAGATCAAATTAGGTTAATAAGTATTAATGAAAAATTACAAATCGTAAATATGAAGGTGGAGATATACATTTCTATATTAGTCTTCTTTATTAAAGGAACAGAAATTTCCTGCTTTTAACTTTAGGTACTAAATTCCTTAATAATGGTATCGTAATTCAGCCTAGATGCCAAGTCTGATTCAATTGATAAAACAGCCAAAGCTGAAGGTCTTTCTTGGCTCATTGTGTTTCTCAAATAATTTTTTATTAATTTTCATTTAGACAAACTTCTTTCAGCAGAGTATGTACTTACCGGAATTGTTAATAAAATTCGGATGACAATGTAAATATTTGGGTAAATTTCTTTTAAGTTATTTTATCGATTATGATTAACAGATCTTATTTTAAATTTCTTCACTTTTGGTTTGTTCATTTGTTTCGTCAGAACGCATTAATATAAAATATACATATATACGAAACAAGTAGGTCAAAAAGGTCATTGTTGCAGAAAATCAACAACGTTCAATTTATGAATGAATGAACTTTTCAAATAGACTTGGGTTTGGGTCTGTGTGTTCTGAGAAATGCTTCCGGTATTCGCTATTTGGTACTCGTAGTATAGAGATTGTTCTGTATTGCGAAAAGATGATTGATGTTTACATATAGGTTCATCATCTGGTTTGTTACTTTGGTTTTTTAAAAATGTTTAATAAAATATCATTTATCACGAAATAAAATAAACACTAACACTACGCAATTGTCAAAATTCTTTCATACAAATCATAAAATTCCGAGTTTTTAAGGTAAACATAATTGGTAATTTATTAAATTAGATCAATCATATCGATTTTTTTCTCGTCAGCACTTGCTTGTTGTTCGCGTCACTATCTCTCTCGTCGGTACAGTCGGTTGAAAAAGTTAGTATTTTATTTATCGTTTAGCCAATACAAAAATGAATAGTTATTTTCCTAAATTAATTCGACTTGGAATCTCACTCCGGACCTTGGGCGTTAAGGGCGCATACTTTTATTTTTTACTCACTTGCTTTCCGCCCGCAGCTTCGCCCGTGTGGAATTTGGTTTTATCCGGTATTTTTGTTTACCCTCGGGAACATTTTTTTTTCGGGATAAATATTCCCTATTGTTTAATCTGGACTTCAAAATTTTAAAGCAATCGCTTACTCACTTTCCGATTTATAATATTAGTAAGGATTTAATAAAAAAAACAAGACGGCTTTTAAATTATGGCAGTAACGAAAACGATTGTTTTCCTTAAACTACTGATAATAAACCTTACGTGACAGTTATTTTTCAGTAACTAGAAATGTATGAATTAAGGTTAAAAAAATACTAAGACTAATAACTGTTTGAGAGAGAAATATTTTGATTAATAACAGTTTTCTTTACTAACATTAATAAAAAAGAAATTAATATTTCTTAGTGACTGTACATGCGCGACCGTTAGAAATAGCTAACTTCAAGCCGGTCAAGTAAGATCGCGTAATGTACATTTCTATTGTTATGCGCCTTGCGTTGCGACTTGCGTACCTACTTTGATTTGATTAGTTGTCTTCCTAGTAAAGAAAGTAAACAAAATAAAACCGGGGATTCCCCGCACGTTTTTTATTTATTTATTAAGGCATTGGAACTCTGGTCGATCGGCGGCAAATGTTTCTAGCCTAAGAAAACATGTTTCACAACAGTTCTCTCCTAAAAATTATAACAGTTCATAATTGTCGATTAGGTATTTCAACAAGGAAAATAAATTTTTGAGATCGATAAGCTCAAAAATGACGCATTAGATAAAATTTAAACGCTTAGCGGGAATGTTTTTATAATAACTATCGTGAGACATACTAAATTAACTAAAATTCGCGGGTTACTCACGTGTAAATGTTGAGAAAAGCTCTACTAGTTTCGAACCACAGAGGGGTTCTTCCTCATGAGCGGCGTGCGCGGACGCGGCGATAATTTAGCTTAGCGGGAAGTTGCACGGATGGCCTTTAGGTGAACTGTTTTCCAATTTTTTTTTTATATATTTTTTCGCTTAAAAAAATTTCGAGGCGCGAGGCCCCTTGTACCGCGAGGCCGTAGGCGGTGGCCCACGTCGCCCACGCCTTACGCCGCCTCTGGTCGAGAGCCTTCGGTCAGGTTGTTAAAACTGATGTCAATTTAATAGTTATCGCTTCGGAGCGGACCTCACATTACCACTGTAATACATTAGTTCCAATGCTGATAATGCAGATGTACACGGGCGTTTAATATTAGCAATAAATAAGTTTGAAGTGGAGCCATGTGCGGTTGGCTGAATATTTAATTTTTGTGTTCCCGTCCGTAGTGAATTACGTTTAATTTTCACCAAAAGTTGTAAATTGTATGTTGTCTCTGTGGAGACGTGAGATTTACTTTACCTCACCGACATCGCTTGCATTATGTTCATGGCCACTACTCGCATCGATGATGTCCATTCCAGCTCATAGTTCGAACAAATCCACAGATTTGTACATTAGGTCGTTCGTTCATGATTCATCAACACCCCTAGTTTAACTACTACTTACCGACTAGTTGTGTATCGCTTTGTTCCGTATAAATAAAGCAGTGAAATATTATTTTTGTACGTTTGAGTTGAATTAGTACCGCGGCTGGCAGCTAGCAGCCGCTATTGTGACTTTGTAATAAGTTTGTGTGTTGATGGATTCGCGTGTCG